TTTGGTAACCATAAGTTTGTTTTCTACGTCTGTGAGTCTGTTTCTGTTTTGTAAGTAAGTTCATTTGTGTCACATTTTAGATTCCACACACAAGTGACATCATATAGTATTTGTTTTTCTCTTTCTTTTTCTGACTTATTTCATTTAGTATGATAATCTCTAGGTCCATCTCAATAATGTCTTAAATGCTTTCCCTCATTCTACCTTTGTTCCACTCTAATTTTTTCTTGCCATAGGAGCTACGGTGGTCCTCATAAAACATAAATAAAAACTATAGCACCACTCCATTCAATACCCTCATGGTTACTCAGAATGAAAGAAAGTCTTTCCATAAGTCTCCAAGGCTCAGAATATACACTGCCCCATATGGTGGACACTAGTTCCATGTATCTATTGAACATCTGAAAGGTAGCTAGTTTGAACTGAGATGTGCTGTAAGTATAAAATACATAATGGATTTGGAAAACTTACTACTGATAACAATAATGTAAATTTTCTCAATAATAATTTTATATTGATTACCTGTTGCCATGGTAATATTTTGACTATATTAAGTTGAATGAAATGTATTATTAAAAATAATTTTACCCTTTAAAAAATGTGGCTACAAGAAAATTTAAATCTCACGTCTTGCATTTGTGGCTCACGTTGTAACTCTAGGGAGCAGCGCTGGCTTCAGTGATCAGCGAGTCACCTGCTTCGTTCCATTTTCAATCCATAGTAGTCTCTTTGCTAATCCTCAAAATACCACATTTATCTCAAGTCTTCATGTTGACTATTCCTCTTTCTTGGAATCTCTTCTCTTAGATATCCTTATGCTTAGTTTCCTCACTTTCTTCGGTTCTCTGCTAAACTTATCAGAAAAAACTTCTCTGGCCAATCAGTTTAAAATGGCCTCACCTGGGACGAGGCAGTTTAAATAGTCCGGGATTAACAGGGATGGATGGAGACAAATTTACAGAACTATGCTCTCCGCGCTTAGTAGGAGGCTGTTGTTTCTAAGGTCCCTGTTTTGCGCAGAGAGCCTGGGAATCTAACAAAGAAGTGGAACATCAGGTTGAATTTTTTTAAAATGACCTCACCTGACACATGTACCTATGCACTATCTCTGTTTCTTCAAAATACTTATCACCTGGCGTAATACACGTAGGTGCACGTGTGTGTGAATATAACCCTCACGAAGTCAAGGACTCTGTTTATTATTGCTCTAGAATAGTGCCTAGCTTATGGTAGATACTAAATAAATACTTGTTAAATAAAAATACGAAATATCATTAAAAAATAAATAAGGTGATATCAAAGAGATTTTTATCGTGAAGGAAGGGTTAGAAAGTGAGAACTAACATTTCCTGAGTGTCTACAATGAACTAGATATTGTATTTAGCACTTACATAGCTTAATAAAGCCTCAGAGAAATGTACTTATCAATGAGATATCTAAAGCTCAGATAATTTAAATAACTTTCCCAAGGTCACTTAGCCAGTATGAACATCATTTCAATACTTTTCATTTTATTTCATTTTATTTCGTTCTCTGTCTCCTAGACTAAATTAGATGCTCTTCCAAATACTCTCTCAGAGTACCCTACATTTTCACTTCGTATCATTTGTCACCATGGTAATTCATTTTGGAGTGTGGTATTTAACGTCTGTCTTCTTCACTGTACTATAAACTTCAGATAGGTCGCAGTGAATACCTTGTTGACATTTCCATGTCCAGAGCCTTCCACCTTGTCTAATGCTTAATCTCTTTCACGTATTTGTTGAATAAATGAATGAATGACATTAACTTTATTCCAAAATATTATAACAGTTGATGAGAAGGTTATTTGTGCCTGGTGAGAATTAATGGTTTTGTAGATCAACAACATGAATTGCGCCTGAGCATGATGCCCAGCTGAATATTGTAGGTGAGAGTTCGCTGCTGTGTAGGTGGACTATTTGTTCTTTACAATTGGCCATAGGTAATGGGACTGTAAGTTATGAATTTTCTCTGGAAACGTGCTGTCCAACTTGGCAAACTCCTAGGCAATGGGGGCTAATTAAGTAAAAATTAATTAAAATTAAGTAAAATTGAATATTCATTTCATCAGTCATATTAGCCACATTTCAAGTGCACAGTAACCATATGTGGCTTGTGGCTGCCTTACTGGACAGCACAGATAAAGAAAATTTCCAGTATAGGGAGAGTTCTATTGAACAGCACTAGTCTAGAAACTTTAAAATGTCCTTGGGAAGATGTATTTTTAAATCAGAAGGAGGTTGTTGTTTGATTAGTTTTGTCTTCTAACTAAAATTAAACTTTAAGAGTCCAATAACCTGTATTCCCAAGTGTTTCCGGGCAAGACGTAGACATGGAAAAGGAGCTTCATTGTCCAGCAGATGAAACACTTAGTCAGATGTGCTCATGCACAGCCAGTGACTGGTGTGGAAAGAACCACCCCTCCAAAGGCTCCAGGCAGACCTACTGTTCCAGGGACGCTGCCAGCACCTTGCTGGATGGAGCCCTATGTCTAATGCCATTCAATACCATCTCTTTGCGTTTGATGTACAAAACAGAAGACTGAAATTTGAATAAAAGGAAAGGGCTCTAGATGCCAAATGCACCTCAGACTGTAGTTAGATTCATGACTTCTAGAGGGAAAGTTTTAAACTGTTCCCTTCTTCAGAATGTCACATATCTTCAGGTAATCTCTTCATAATGTAACTTTGAATGATTTTGGCCAATACAATTTAACCTTTTTTTGAGAGTCTGTTGCTGGAGATCTTTTTTCCCTAATTGGAGAGGTAACGCATTTCCTGCCGTTGCCTTAGAAAAGAAAATGCTTTATGGACAAGAACAAAAATTATATTTTCTGGTTAAGTTCAATTATTTTGGAGGGATAAGAATTTTCCTAGTTTGACTCTTCCGGGTATTGGCCCTCTCTGAAATAGCTGTTTCGTGGTTCTCACGTCCAGACAAGAGACCAATGGAGAGCTGAGAAGGACTACTGGGCAGCCCCACAAGTCCCAATCAACAGGTGGGGAACCTGGAATTCTTCCTCTCTTTGGGGATTGCGCCCCCACTCACCGTGACCTCCCCTAGCCTTTCAGGCGAGGTATTTCTAATCCCTCTTAGATTTTCTTAGGAGAGACACCGAGTGACAGTGGTGCTTCTGTGTATGACTGGGGAGTAGTGGTGAAGGATGCAGGTGGGGACCGGGGAGTTGGGAAGACTGGGCGGAGACAGCTTCCTGAGCAGTGAGCGGAACAAGGAGTGGAGGGAAGGGACGCGGAATAGCACCCCGAGAGAAACGCGAAAAGGACGGAAAGCGCGGAGAGGAGCCTGGGCGGGCCTGGGCGGGGCAGAATGGGGAAGGGTCACGTCGGGACGTAACGGGCTGTGGGCCGGGGGAGGCGAGCCGGGAGGGAGAAGCGGGCGCTCGCCGGGGGCTCTGGAACCCGAGCTCCGCCGATGAGGTCAGTGGAGCCGACGCGCCGGGAGGAGGGC